TATAGAATAGATTTTGCATAAATCTCAAAAAGTCGAAATACCTCAAAAATCTAAAATCAATTTTGGAAACATGTATATTCCACAATATATATTGAATTATAATGAAAACGATTAAATTCGAAGTAATCTGAAAACAATAAACCTGAAACAAAATATGTTAAAATACTAGCTGTTGAATTTCGAAAGTTTATATTATCATTAAAAAATTTAATATTGAATTTCAAAGATTTTTGATAATGAAATAATATATGGTAAAATTTAATCATTAAATTTCGATTTCAAAAGGTTACGACACAATCGATAACCTTTAAAATCTAATGTTACAATATAATTTCAAAGGTTTTTGAATTAATATAATTACTGATGATACCTCAGCAACATATAAAGTTTCTCAAGTATTGAAAAGTTCTAATTTATCTTGATAATGTAATAACCTAATACTGAAATTTTGGTAATATAGATTCATGATACAAGTTTTTTTCTGAACTAATTTTTTGTTTTGATCTCTAAGATTATAATTTAAAGTATTGATCTCTCATTTGAGATGTTCATTCTTATCTATTAACTTTACTGTTTGGTTGTATGCTTTAGAGATATTACCTACAGATTTTGATATTTTTTTAATTCAGGTTTTGAGTTTCTTTTCTTTTACATCAAATTTAGCTAATTGATTTTCCCTGGTAATAAGCTCTTTGTCTTTTTGCTTGATCTCTTTTTTGAGCTTATAGATAATCTTTTTTAAGTCTGATATCTTTTTTCCACTTCCTCCCTTTCTTGTATTGAAAGTTCAATTGTATTTACTAACTCCTTCTCAAGATATCAAATTCTTTCTTCACACATAACTATATCTCATTTGAGATTGTAAGTTTGACATTCATAGTCTCTGTTTGATTGAGTTAATTGTTCAATTTCATTGTGAAGTTTCTGGTTAGCTTGTTTTAATTTATCCATGAATTTTATAATAAATCAAAGTATGGGAGAATCCGTAATTTATATTAATTCTCAGAAGGCTTGTGATTTGAATAGAGAAATTACATTACAGAAACTATATTATCAACCTGAAGGCTATTATCGAATTGCTGAAAAAATAAAATATACTTGTAAAAAAGCTGGTTATAATTTTTTGTTAACAGATATAAAAGACTAGTTAAATAAGCAAGCCATTTTTCAGATTCACAAGTCACCTCCAAAGTATATTCTTCAAGCATCATTTAATACAATACAAATTCCTAACAAATGTCATCAAGCAGACCTTCTTTATATACCTTATGATCAGATTAGAAATAAGACTTACTGTTTTATTCTTGCAATAATAGATGTGGCAAGCAGATTCAAAATTACATATCCTCTGACAGATCGTACCTCTGTCAAAGTTGCTAAAGCATTTGAAAAAATTTATAATAATCCTGAATATCCTCTTGTCTGGTCAAAATTGTTACATATTGATAAGGGCATTGAGTTCCGTGGAAATTGTGAAGAATTAATGATTAAATATGGTGTAAAAATTAAGTTAGGCACATCACATCACAGTCAAAGTATTGTTGAAGGATTTAATCGAACATTAGCTGAAAGATTATTCTGATTACAAGATGCTTCTGATTTATTGCTACCTTTATCTGAGAGATCCTGGACCTGGGTTAAAAATCTTCTGATTATTGTTAAAGATCTAATAATTCTATAACTCGACTTCTTGGAATGAGTCCTATGGAGGCAATAAAAAAGAAACAGGTTTTTGCCAAATCTTCTTTACCTCGTAATGGCCCTATAGGATTTGATGAGCCTCAATTATCTTACAATGATTCAGTAAGATATTTGCTCGAACCAGGTGAGTTAAAAGGTGGAAGATGTCATGTTACAGATGTGTATTGGTCTCCACAGATTTATCATATTAAAAAAACTATTACTCAAGAAAATCAACCAGTACTTTACAAATTACTTGATGAACTGGAAAGATCATTTGTACAAGAAGAACTTCAAATTGTTAAGGATATACAATTTCCATCTCAATAGATACTTAATGCATAAAATATACTTTGTTAAAAGATTTGTGATAGATATATGAATTAGATTTTTATTACACATGTGGAATATCAGGTTAGCTTTGATTTCACATATTACTTGTACTTTCCTTAGAATCACTTTTAAAGTATCATTTTATAATAGCTATCATCATACATCATTAATTATTTGTATATATATAGTGAAAAAAATTACTCGTGTATATATTCGCCACAAATTATTTAGAAATATATATTACCATTCTATAGAAATAAACATGCAGAAAAACCAAAGAAAGGATTACTTCCAATGAAACTTTTCCTTATGGATATGGATGAGGCTATAAAACATGCTTTATCATGCTGTATTGGACATCCAGCAATGTCATGGTCATTCGCTATGCTAGCTACTGGAAAAAGTGGTACAGGTAAGACTAATATATTTGGAAATATTGTTCTTGGTGACAAAGGTGAATGTATATATAAAGGGAAAAAGGGTGGATTCAGATATATACGATGTGATAATTTGATAATTTGTGGATATCACCCGGATGAACTTAAATGGGCATTTGTTAAATATATGTATGGAATAATCGCAAGTGATCCAAGAGCACCATACTACGAAAATATTAAATTTAGTTATATCTCATCTAAAAGAATTCCCAATGTAAAATCTTTTTCTCCCGAAAGAAGTACTGTAATTATCTTTTTATTCTTTATACATGGACGCCATCAGAATATTAGTTCAATTTACGTAATACAAAAATATCATCATATCCCAGTAATTATTTGGGAGAATATTTCACACTTAGTAATGTTTAATGGTGGCCAAGATGTTTCCAAAATTGTTGGTCGATATACTGATGATATGAAAAATGCTTCAATGGTTATTAATAGCTATTTACGTAAGGGTGAGTTCATTGTATTTGATCTAGATAGGCCTGAGGATGATTTGATTCATTTGCAAACACGCAACCACCACAACCAAAAATCATACTTATTATGTAATCGTTTTATCTGGAACTTTTTCTCCAGCACCTTCTTTAAGGTGTGATACCAGCTTCTTTTAAGTGAGCGTATTTTCTTCTGCCATAGTATTTATGTTAGTCCGGAAATAATAGTGATTACAGCTCTTCAAAGAAAGAGAAATCAACAACTACCGCTCTCCTTAGTAACCGATTAACGAAAATTACTCTAGTCAAACGTTTTCTGAAAAAGTAAGTACATGCTTTAGCATTAAAAGATCACATAAAAATTCCAAAAATTAAATTAGCTAGCTCTTTTTTATAATCGGTTTATCACTGCGCGATGATACATCTCCCGAGAGTGGGTGAAAGAATTTTTATGATACTTATCTTAATGTAGTCGAAGGCCTTACACAAAAAACAAAATTTCTGAATAAGTTTATTTTATGATTGATTGCGTCTACACGTGATGAAACCGAGACACGTAGTTGTCCAATAAAAATTTGCGAATGCCGAAACGCGTACTTATGATTTCTTACTTCTGTATCATTTTTTGTATCATTTTGAAGTCATATTTTTTTTGGTTAGAAAAGGACTTTGAGTTATTTTATAATTTATTCGTGGAAATCATGGACTATAAAGTCCCTGCGCATGCAGAAATCGATATTTACTTCTCCGTGAATCCAATTTCTAAATGGCAACTTTTCGATGCGTATATAAATTTCAAGTTAGAGGACGGCCGAATCCATACAGCATCAGAATTATTTAGGACCTTTTGTGGGTCACTAGCCTGCATCGAGAGTGGCAGTTACCCCAAATTCTAAAAGATGGCTACGAAGGTAAACTTTTGCTATAAATTTTGCTTTTCAAAATTCGATATTACTAAACAGTAGTGTTATAGACGAAAAGAAACTTTTTCATGGAGTTTGCCGAGAAACTTATTGAGCGTGTTGAATGACGGCAATTGATGAAGGAAAATGAAATTGACATTCAGGAAAAACAGGTTCTTATGTTTTTTATACAAATTATCAGTATATTGACATAACGTTAACGTAATAAATAACATTTAGTCCTTACGAGCTCAAGTATCTAAGTCGAAAGCATTGGATGATATAACAAATGCAATTATTGGAAAGCGTAAAAGAGGCAGTGATGGCAATGATGACGATGATGACGATGATGACGATGGACATATTAATAGTGGGACTTTTGATAATGAACAAAAGGTAAGAACAACACCATTCATAGTCATCTTAAATGTTTGCATCCGCTTATATATTTTAATTTAGATCAGAGAAAATTATGCTACTTCCGCAAGAGAGTCCGCGATGTCTTCATTCAACATCAAAATTAGTTCCAAACAAATTTTCACATGGAACCATGTAATCCAAAAAATGGAAATAAAAGAAAATTCCACGAAGGATGTATGTTCACAAATGTTTTGAAAATGATGAACCTGCATATTGTATTTTTACTAAATCATCTTTCTATATTTGCATTGAATAGTGGATTAATGACGGACACAATTTTTCAGATGATTTTCGGAAATTTCAGAAGTCGATTATCGAAAAATTAAAAACTGATCCAACTTTAAGCTATGCAACTGATATTGAATCTATAATGTAGGTACTTAATCCAGCAAAATCGTTGTATTTTTTAATTTTTTTTAATAGGATGTTCACCACATCATTTATACTTATAATAGTACTTTATCAAGCATAATGATATTAAGAAAAAACAAAAAACCGGCTTATGTTATCTCTTTATTGATACAAATAAAATATAAATGCCGGATGATACATGATAAAATACAGTTACAAAAAAATATCTATCATTTGTTAGATTTTTGTATACGACGTTTCTTGATTTCGTGTTCATCACACATTGCAATTCTATCCCTTAATAAGCCCACAATTATACCAATTACTGTTTTAACACCCTTCCTGATTGATTCAAGATCCTCCTTCAAGGCCGTTTTGGATAAATTAATCCGATATTCGCTTTTGCTGGTACAATATAGCCCTTCCGTAGCGAGTTTAATAAAATGCCATTCTGTAGCTAGAAAAAAAAAGAGAGATTAACTTTGCTATACCGGTAGAAACTATTCCGTAGAGATAATCTTCATCGTTTTGAAAAGCCTGATCCGCAGTTCGTTTCCTTTTATTCATATGACTTGCGCTCTCCAGTTGTTTTATATTTTGGAGATACCCAATTTCAACATTGCGTGGTTTTCCCTCAGCTATACATATAAGATCCTCATATCCTTTGATTGAATAATCAATACGCCCAGAGGAATCTTCGCCGGATACATCATCTTGGTATGCAATATATATTTTTTTCATTGTTGGTGAGTTTTCGAGTAATTGCAATTGATGCGTTTAAGATAGATGTAATAAAAACACAACGGGTTGCTTCATTGGTACTGTCTTGTATGGTTTCCAAATTCGAAAGTCTTAATATAATTTCTTTCATACACCGTTTGAGAGCTTTATCGTCATCACCGATTTCTTCGTAAACTGTATAAATATGTGTCTTTAGTCACTGGCCCACTATACAACTATTCTCTTACAAGAAAGAATATATATCATTTACCTGGATTAAATTGTTTTATACATTTTATACATGTAATTTTTTCACCATTGACTTTATATTTACGAAGTACCACCTTCAATTTATCTAATGTTTTATATGATGAGAAACTCTGTAATTTTGTTTCATTAAGCCCTTCGATAAAGTCTGAAAGTCTAGTTGCAGGTCCCAAAGCAAAGCCAATACTTCTAAATTTTTCTTCTGTTAATTTTAGAAAATCGAGACCAGCTATTTCTTGTTGACGAAAAAATTTCAAAATGGGATTTATTGAGTTTCAAATTATTCCTATCCAAATAATCGATAAGCTCCTCAGTATCATAGTCTTTAATAACATCCCCATGGTACGAGTTATCATATTATTTGTTGAAGTCTAAGACTTTTTCTATATTGAAAGTAGCAATCATAATTATACAGTATTTTTTCAATAGTTACATTTTTCCCTTTAATTAGTATACTTTTTAGAATTTTTTTTGACATTTTAAATATGATATTATTTGTTTTACAAATTTTCAAAATGGCATTAATTAAAGATTGATTTTTTGGTGTGTTGATAAGTTCTTTTGATTCCAGAATTAACTCTTTTGACCAAAAAAAATTTTGTATGTGTTGTAAATGTATTTGTATAGAAAAACCTATAGCTCACTTATCATTTAATCAATTCAGAAAATTGTTACTGTGCATTTGGAATTGTCTTTTTCACAAGCTACAAATGTTGTATGCCTCTTTAGCATATAATAATACATTAGGTATTGTACAAGTAAGAAGTGTTTTGTTTTTAATTACTAATATAAAACAAGTTGTTATTTTGAGGTATTCATAAATTCATATCATCAAGACTATATTCTAGTATAGAAATCACTACCATATTAAAGATATAAATTGCTTGTTTATCAGTTATAGATTTTTCTCTTAATATATTTACCAAGTAATCTGATAATTTTTTAAGTCATTCTCTTTGAAATTTTTTGAACCACTTTCAATTATATATACCTTTAAAGATCTAACTGAAAAATCTTTTGCTACTGGTGTTAAAATTTCCTCTCCCATTCTTACACCTCTTTTCCTATCGGCTACTGTTGCATTAATTGCTATAAAGTATAATTTACTTTTGTTTATTGCAATATCATTTATAACAAAAAATTTATCTGCTATTTCAAGAATTTGTTCCATGTACTCCTTAGACAAAGTGAACCAATTTGTATTGTCGATATATGTTGCCACTGACATTTTCAAAGTCAAATTACTTTGTATTTCCAATCGTAAATTATTAATTTAGCTTTTCTCATTTTATATCCAAACTTTGATTTTGCAAATGTTAAAAACCTTTTTTATTATATATTGAATATCCAATAAATACTTGAACTTCAGTATAATAACTATACATCAGGAAATTTTTGAAGGCAAATATATCCATATATATTTGTTCACTCATGTATTTATCCACATAAATTGCATTAATCCATATTAATCCACCTTAATTTACATTTATTTACATTAATTTATATGTTATATTGAATATATCTGCATATATTCAGTTTTTATTAATTACAAATATACTGGCATATATTTGTGAATGAAAATTTCATGATGTACTTATCAAGTAGCAGATAGGTGTAAAATTTGTAAACACAGGTCAAATACAAAAGATATGTTATACTGAAAAGGAATTCTAATTTTAGCTAATTATAATATAGGATACAATAGAACAGTTAATTATTATTGATTTTTAGCTAATTTATAATATACACTAATTAAAAATTTATAAATACTACACCTATCTGGTACCTGATAGATATAGTATTCATAAATTTTTGACCAGTGATAGAAATTACCATTTGGTATAGTGATTCTTTTGTGAAATTTTTAACTAGTGATACATATTAATATCAAAAAATTTTTATAGCCATATTAACATTATATATATTATTCAAATTAATTTGTACTAGTTAGATACAAAAGAATCATTGTACTAAATAGTGATTCCTACAGTATATTAAAAATTAGAATGTCTATACTATATATTAGCTAAAAATTAATAAAATCAACTATTCTATTATATCTTATATCGCAAGAATTTTATAAAGACATTCTAGTATGCTATAAATACAAACCATTTAAATAATATACTAAAAATGTCAATTTTAATATGTTATAATAAAAAATGTTTAAATAATGCACTAGAATGTTGTGTTCTAGTATGTTAGAAATACAAAATGTTTAAATAATACACTAGAACAGTGTATTTAGTACACTATCAATACAAAACATTTAAATAATACACTAGAACATTGTGCTCTAGTATGTTAGTGCCATTTGAATAATGCTATAGAATGGTGTTTATATAGTGTTGTAAAATGTTTTTATTTAATTCTTGATAATTATAAATTAGCTAAAATCAAAATTTCTTTTCAGTATAGTATATTTTTTTGTATTTGACCTGTGTTGATATAATAAAATAATTTGGAATTTGATACAATAGTAATTAAAAATAATTTGAGTAGCATGTATATTAATATTATAAAAAATATATATGATGAATTAAAGTACTCTCATATTACTAGATGGTGAATTAAGATATAGGATGAAAAACTTTAAAGCATAAGTTTGATGTGAATAGATAGCAAAATCTTATGTAATTATGTAATACTAATTCCAGATGGTGAATAATGGACAGTGAAAAGGATATGAGAAAAGTTAAAAACAACAAGAGATCAATTAAACATTAAAACTGGAAAAATTTCCCATATGTGAACAACTATTAGTTAGTATTGGAACATTATAAAAAGACATAAGTAGTTCAGGAGCTGTGAGCATAAAAGGAGTCTTTCAGTGTATCAATAACAGCTTCATGCTCAGTTGAGCACATTTTGACTATATTTAAAGTGCCATTTTTAATGAAAGAATTATAATCTTGCTAATGATCTAAATGTTTAACTTTTTAATTTTATTAATAATTTCAATTTTTTTTTATAAGTTTTACCTATAACAAAAACCTTTCTGTATTTCACCTTTAAATTTAGTCTGCTGTATCCTAAACATCTTAAACTGACCTAAATCCTTTTGCCCAAATCATTAAATTTTGCACAGATATGTTTAAGGCAATTGGAAAAGAAAGACTACAATTTATACAAGTCAACATTGAATCTCAATACAAACTAGCAATGTCCCACCTGGTTTCATTTAATGGCCCTTTTGGTAATTGAAGAATCTCTAATGAAAATTCCTTCTTGAGAACTTTGTTTAGTCCCTTTTTTTTTTGCGTATAACAATAATTAAAAAGTTTTTCTCACAATCATTTGTTAAAGTATATTTAATTATAAAAATTAGCAGTCAGGTGATTTACTCAAAAGTTATAATTAATTTATGTATTACTGTTAAACAAATCATGAGAATATTTGAACCCAAGGGGTCACATTGCACGAAATTATTCATCTATTTAGTCTTATTTAGTCTATTACTATAAAAATATCTTCTATGTAAACATTATCTAATTAGAGAACAAAAGAATATAATAAGAACGCTCATATTTATTTGTGTAACAGACGGAATTTTAGATAACCCACAACAAATTTGGGAACAATGACAATTCATTTTACCAAATTTGGGAACAAAAACAGGATTTCACACTATAAATTTCTAAATTTTCGTTATTTTATTTATCTTTAATGGACAAGAGACTTCTAATTGAGCTTTTGGAAGATCTTACAAACTTTCAGGTGAATAATGAACAGATACTGGACACCATCCTTAAAAAGTGTTGTAATGCATCGAAATTGGAGTTGGCAAAGTTTATAAACGACCTGTCATTGTCTCTGCGCCAATCCCCTGATGAATACATAACAGCTATGCAAATCTTCATTTGGCACCTCAAAGATGATTCTTTACAAAATCTTAACAGATGGCTTCCCAATTTTGTCTCGAATTTAATAACAGAAGTAATCCTGCCAAACCTTGATTATTCCGATTTTCTTAGTTTCAGGGAGCTCCTTCGTAATTGCGTTGAGCTCCTCTGGTGGGCTGATCTTAATAAAGAGTTGGCCACTCAAACAATTAAAAATATCTTCAGTGCAATTTTAAGGACAAAGTATATACTGGAAATATTAGTATCAGAAACTTCCAGTTATTACTTTTTCAAACTTATTCTATTTGACTTCAACATAATTAATCTGATTAGAGAAGAAGAACTGATACAATCAATGGAATTGGTTGTGGTTCTCATTATGAACTGCCAAAAGCATAAAGAAGAGTTACAGTCAATACACAGGATTTTCACTTTTTTAAAGACTTGGAAAACTCCGAATGAGGCACAATGTAGTAATACTTCTAGTAACGAAAACCAAATAGGTTTATTCAAGGTATTTTTTGTTGTTGTTTGATACTTTTCTCAATCGTTAAACTCATTCAACCTTCCCTCTCACTTAGAATTTGTTAGGATTTTTACCATGTACAAGTTGTCACAAACGGGCCCTCATTGACTTCTCCCCTGACAAATATTCTTCACTCATAGAAGAGGATGAACTTGAGTCTTTAGATGCCAAAAATCTATCTGATCATTTTCGCCTTCCATTCGAATTTAATAATAATGACGAATTAGGACCATGGGAAATCCTCCTTAGTGAAAATGTTATCAAGGACTTACGTAAATTAAATCCACACACAATGGATGCGGTCATGAAGCAATTCGGAAAAATAGCATCCGGAGAGTGGAACAAATACGTACTTTTAAATAAGATAAAATCTCATAATATTCCTGTTTTTGAGGTGAAAGTTCTTGACAATAGTGAATTGAGGATTATCTGGCAGGTTGACTATGGGTTCTCTATGCGCTGTCATTTACTCACGCAATTTGTGAAGATTTGGGCTGTCACCACCAATCAAGAAGAGATCTGCAATACATTAGCGAAGGCTCATGATGTCTATACTGAAGAGCATGTTAGAAGGTGTTCGATTAAACAAAAAGAGGACATTGTTTTACCAATGATGTCTTACGAAGAAGAGGAAGAAATAAAGTCCATTTACGAAAAAATTGACAGCACCGAGATGGACGATGAGAGATTATTAGAGGTCCACAAAATGCTTGTTACAGACAAGTTTATTCCTTTGTCGTCGGTAGAGTATTTACGATATAAAATAATAATAATAACTTCAGATTAAAACAGTTTTTAAAATAATCTTGCTTTCAGAACCTGTTGAAGTCACTTGTCAAAAACGCCCACGAATTCACTTTCCATGTATCAAAGACTGAGTACGAAATTATTAAAAATCCTACCTCATCTATTGTTATTGGTCGTTCAGGTTAGTCTAATTTCAATCTGATATAACTAGAGATAAAGATTCTAACATCAATTCCTATTTTAAATAATTAGGTACCGGCAAGACTACCTGTATTGTATTTAGACAGATTGCCTCGTACTTGACAAATCAACTTAACACGACATCATCCTTGGGTGGCAATTTTAACAAAAGGCAGTTATTTATCACTGTGAGCTACGGTCTGTGCTGCTGGGTAAAGCGATACTTTGCTCGGTTACGAGAATCAGCAGTATTTTCTAGAAAAAAAATGACAAAGGCACAGTTTAACGAATATATAAATAAGATGGAAAAGGAAAATGATACCAAGACCGATGATAACACAATGCCCTATGAAAGAAATGAAGAAGAAGCTATGAAAGACATTCCAAACTCATTCCTTTTATTGAAGGATGAACACTTTCCATTATTCATTACCTACAATAAATTTTCAAAAATGCTTATGGGAACTTATGACATTGATATTCAGAAGCTAAGAGAGCCCTCTAAAGTTAATGAGGAATATGATAATGAAGAGGAGTTCATTTTCAAGAAATCTTCTTTATTTGACGCATCTAAAGCGTCATGGGCTCACTTCATTGACTATAATCGATTTGAAAAAGAATATTGGCCTCATCTTGGTGATCCTTGTAGGAATAAATGGGCATGCGAACTAATTTACTCTGAGTTTTCCGTGATCAAGGTATATTTATACAAAAGCCTTACTTTCCATAGTATGTTATATTTTCTTCTAAAAAATATACATTTGAAGGGAATAAATCCTGAGCCATATTACCTATCAAGAGATGATTACCTTAATATCAGTATCAGGAAATACCCAGTATTCTGCCATAATCGCGAGGAGATTTATGATCTATTTGAGCGATATGAAAAGATAAAACGTCGGAGAGGTCAATTTGACTCGATGGATAGGTAAAACCGCATTAATACATAAATTTTTTGAAGTTGAGATATAATTTCATAATTTCATATCATTTCCTGTAGAACATTGGCCATTTTTCGTCAAGCTAAAATGAAACCACTTGGGGGACCACAAATAAATGAAGTATACATTGATGAATGTCAAGATAACCAAATAGTAGATTTGTCACTTATCTTGAAGCTATTTGAACACGCTGACAGCGTTTTAATGGCAGGGGATATAGCACAATGCATTGCTCGGGGTTCTTCTTTCCGTTTCCAGGGTATGTATTTTTAATAATAATAATGGATAATATCTTGCCTTATTTTACTAATAAAATATATAGACTTAAAAACCTTGATGTATAAATGGGAGATCGATCGAATCAAAACAAATAACAACCAATACTATGCCGTAAAACCAAAAGAATTTGAGTTAAACATTAACTTTCGTTCTCACCATGGGATTATTAAACTTGCTTCATCTGTGACTGATCTTATCAAGCACTTTTTCCCTGATTCTATCGATTCGTTGAAGCCCGAACATGGAGAGGTTGGCGGCCCGAGACCTATTATGGTCAAAGAGATGTCTGAAATTGAGGTTTTTAATGCCTTTGCTGAGAATAATCAATCCGATGATAATATCGATTTGGGTGCTGAACAGGTTATTATTGTACGTAATGAAGAAGATAAAATTCACGTAAAAAATATTATTGGTGAAAAGGCAGGATTTGTGATGACCGTATACGAGACCAAGGGAATGGAATTTAATGATGTGCTTTTATATAATTTCTTCAAACCCGCACGTCTAATGGTATGATGTTATTTACTTCGTTGCAAAACGTTATAGGTTATTTATTGAATATTTATTGTTTATGCATATATATGAACCATTTTAAGTGGCGAGTAATTCTTTCTACGTTGGACGGATATTCCAAAGGGATCCGGTCCTTCGATCATCATCGTCACCAACATTATATCCTTTTATATGAGCTCAAAAATCTCTATGTCGCAGTGACCAGAGCCCGACAACGCCTCTGGATTTATGATGTAAATGACGAGTTCAGTGAACCAATCCAAATGCACTGGGAAGAGAAAAATCTGGTTAAAGTAGTCCGGGATAAACGTAGTTTACCTAATACGACTAAGAGTGCTAAAAGCAGTAACCCACAAGAGTGGGACCAAAAGGGAAAAATTTTTTTGGAACGACAACAATATGATCAGGTTAAATTGCTTTATCACTTTTCAAATATTCGTGTCATATAACAAACTAGGATAACTAAATAAATGTAATTAATTTTTAGGCTATTTTCTGTTTCGAAAAGAGCAAAAATGAAAATCTGCGTAAAGTTGCTGAAGCATATTCTCTTCAGCAAGATGCCAGAGCTTCCATATACGATACGGATGAAAATAAAGTGAAGGATAAATTCATACGTGCTGCTTGTGCCTTTGAAAAGTGTTTCCGATATCACCAGGCGGTTTCATGTTATCAAGTAAAAACTTTTTAGCATACTATATTTTATAAATTAATGTGTCTTGATTATATCATTTACTTAATATAAACAATCAGGACATCGAAATGCATAAAGCAGCTGGTAAGGTTTATACCTCAAGAGGCATGTTCGAGTCTGCTGCCCGTTATTTTAAGGCCAACAATAAGTACTATGAGGCAGGTAAAAATTTCGAAAGGGCAAAGAAGTATATTAATGCTATTGTAGCTTATAAAGAATGTGGTTCATATGAAACGGCAATCAGTTTGATGAAAAGGTAAGACAATTATATATGTAATACTATTATCAAGGCATCAATCTGATTCTCGTTTATATTATCATAATAAGACACAGACATGATATCGATAACAAAATATTCTTCCGTAATATCTGTCATATTATAATCACTTGTTTTCGAGAGAATAAGGAGAATACAAGAGAGAAGGCTATTTCCATCCTTACACAAGAAGAAAGAAATAAGCTTCTGAAGGACCGTGAATTTTTGAAAGAGATTTTTGTTGCTGCTGAAAATCTACGTTCATGTGGGAAATTTGAAGAAGCAGCCAATATGTTCAGTCGATCATTTGAAGAAGCAAATATCCTTGAATCTTTACAGTGTCTTCTATATCTTTGCAGGATAAATGTCTTGAAAAATATATTAGCAGATAGCATAAACCAAGATACACTAGATGAGTTACGTAACTTCCATTGTAAGGCAACCAATTTCATTTCGAATATCACAAATATGAAGTTGCAATGGTTGAAAACATCTAGTAAGTGGAATATCCTGATGGAAGAAGTTCATTTATACTCAGCTTATTTTGAGAAAAATCTCAATAGAATCTGTGAATGCATACAATTTTTTCATAATCGCCAAGAGCTCGTATATGAATTTCGTGCGATAAGCTTATGGCTAAAAATTTTGCCACAAAGCATAAATGCTGAATACTGGCATGAACGATTGCAATTTTTGTTGAGCCTGTGCAAATTGATTTTCGGTTTTATAGCTCCACATCAAACTATTAATCTTAAGAAAAACCTCGAGGAAATTTTTTTAGTAAGAAAGTTGGAGAATAAACTAAAAATTGCTTTCGATAACCCACTTGTTGATTTCATAAAAAATGCAAGTAACAAAAAAAAGTCAAATTATTGGAAAATTTTCGATGCGAATCTTGTGTATGAAGCAATTCCAAAATTCATTGCTTCATATATCCGTTGGCTTATCTCAATGGCTAATCAATACGGTAAAAATATCCCAGATATAGCTTCTGAAATATGTCATCATTTTGCATCTTCGGGTAAATGTCCAACAAAAAAATGCCTAAATCATCACGTTATTCCAACATCATCAATCTTGTACAAACGTTTGTCCCTTGCATGCGATCAATACACTTTAATGAGACAGTTGAGCATATTGCATCAGAAAAAGCTAATAAGTACTAATGAAGTTTCGTATCTTCAAAATTTTTGGGCTGGAAAGTTGTTTAGAATCCATTTTCGCTATTTCTCCCCGCAGACAAGTTGTCCGGAGATCACCCGTATGATAATAACTAAACTTTCCAAAGACTCACACAATGCGCTTATGCGTTTTGCTCTCATTAATTATGTCAGCGAGTTTGGAAAATACATCATCGTTTCTCAGTTGAAAGATAGCTTGACAGTACATAATTTATATAATTGGAATAATGAAAGTGGACAATATGGAAACCTACCTTCTTTATTAATTTCGTCTTTTAACTCTAAAAAAATGATCAATGCAATTAGCTACTCTGACACAATTATTTATTATGCCATAAGAAATTCTGAGCAAGCTACTACTGCTGATTTTCTTTATGATCTTACATCTCTTATCGAATTTACGATGCTTTTAATTTTAACAATTCGTCCTGGATATTGCAAATTTTGCCTTCCTCGAAGTTATTTAATTAATTATTACTATGTTTTTAATAAGAACCCACGCTTTTCAGATCAAGAATATTCCGACAGATATAATAAAGAGGACTATCGCGAAGAAATCGAAAATTTGTTCTGTCAAGTTCAACTGCTGCTTTCTAAGCTATTTTCTATGCAATATTTTAACTTAAAAATTATTCTTAGACTAATAAGACTCATGATCCTTATCTCTCTGAATGAATCCACTTTTCAGTCAATTGTATTAGATATTTTTAAACATCTAAACAAAAAATCTCGTGCTATTAATTTCAAGAGATATTTAGAGAAAAAAAATATGAAAGACCTTGTAAAAGAATTGAATTTTGAACTTAAAAAGAATGGCTTCGATTCTCTGGTTATAATCGACTATAACTGGAAAAACTGTAATGAAAAATGTCAATTTTCTTTCTTGGAAGAGTTCCAGGTCACGAAAATTGTATACACTTCAGTTGATGAATTTCGTTTTTCTCTTATGAAAGAAGCCAATTGCAGTAAACAGAATCTCAGCCCAATGCCTGCCGCCTTTAGTGGCAAAAGTAACAACAAGAATAAGAGCGAAGAAAATGATGATAACCAAAACACTTGTAATAATGATGATAAGAGAGATGAAGAAAGGAATGATAATGATGATAATGATAAGAACGATGTTTGTTATGATAAGAATAATGAACAGCTTAAAGCATCGGCCATAAAAATTCTAAACTGGTTCTATCGCATTCGGGATCAAAAGAAGTTTCATGAATCTTATGATTCAATTTTAAATGAGATTTACTACAAAGTGGTGGATTTCTGCCAAAATGCTGTGAAAGAGAAAGGCAAGAATGCGGTATACAAGTATAATATACTCTTAAGAGGTCCAACAGTAGATGTGATTGTGGAATTGATTAAGCTTCAGGAAAGAATTTATAAAACCAAAGATAAAATTAAAGATAAAATTAAAGAAAATAAAGTTAATAATCATCTTCCCGATGACAAAATCGAAATTTTTTTGGAATTGGAGGAAGAATTAGAGTATGTTGAAATTATTTGCAGTTTCTTTTATTATATAACTTATTGAAATTTTTATTTTTTAGATATAATTATGAAGAGAAGATAAAGTGTTCATTGGAATCACTGCTTTTAACTAAGAACTTGATAAAACATAAAGAAACTAATATTCAATGGTTAGAGAATGAACTGCTGCAGGCAAAGGATATTATTGATCAAGTTAAAGAATGTATTAATAAAAGCAAAATTGTTGGGTTTTGATGCCACTCACTTTATTTTTTTTTTGAATGAGTTTGAAAGCAGCTTTTCAATAACTTGATCTAAATTATTATTTATTGTAAGTTGATATCCTTGCTAGTAATTAAAATATGTATTATTTTTCACTATTAATATTTTTCACAATTTATATCTCAGTAGTTTTATTATATTTCTTTATTTTTTATTTGATCTTTTAAATAAAAGCTATTTTACAATATTGTATTTAATTTGCTAAGTTGTTCAAAAAAACCAATTATTTATATTTTGGATATCCCATGGTAGTATTGTATATGGATATTGTTGGTCATTTTTTAACCTTAAATTTTTGTATATCTGATATGTTGAAAAAGAAAAGATAAAATTTATTACATTAATTATAATTTTATCTTCAAATTTTATGAGATATATATTAATAAGATGTAACTGAAATGTAACTAGAGCAGATTCACAAATCAAATAATCAAAAATTGGCTTAACCTATTTATGTATCATTCACAAATCTCCCTATTAAATTAACTAAGATTACTGGCTCCCAGATAATATATAAGATTTACAAAAGTTTGAACAAAAATAATTGTTTTTTATAATAATTCTAAACAAAGATTGCAAAAATAAACAAATAAAATATAACTTTTAATTAAAGTAATTTAATTTAAAATTATCATTTCACAATATAACATTATAGTCAACCCTCAATACAATGAATCTAGTGTCTGGGCCAATTAGGCTTTCATTATAAAAAAATTTGTTAATGGTATAATGAAAATTTATAAAAATCTGATATAACATATAATGAATATTTTTAAAAATTCATTATATATTTTATTAATAAAATCAAAATTTATGAAATTTATTATTTTTATAAACTATTTATACTATTTATATACTATATGTAATACTTCTAAAAAATATCTTCAATAAAACTATCAAAATTACTTTATGTCATTGAAAAAAAGTATTTTTTTTAATTTTTTTACATATTTGTTGTTCTAAATATAAAATTATTTTATCATATAATTTAATAGCTTCATTGTGAGTAATAATTAACAAAGGATCTTATTTTCTTCTATTTCTTCTGTTTCATCTTCTTTATTAGAAAGAACTGCAGCTAGAATTTCATCATTAGTTCTTATTTCTGTAATAACTTCTGTATCATTATAATGAATAAATTCATTAGCACTAAAAGGATCTTCAAGATTTAGTCTATCAATTAATACTTGAACCTCATTTGTATTATTTACTGTAATTTCATTTATGTCCATTTCATCTACAGTATAATTCAAATTAAATTCATCTGTATCTACTTCAGATAAAATACCTGTCTTTTGCCAACAATTTTTAATGGTAAATTCAGTAACATTATTCCATACATAAGTAACATATTTAATATATTTTTTAATATTAATTTCAACAGGTTCAATACTATATTCATTAAATTTATCAAGTGCTTTAACACGATTGTATAAAATAATTTTTGATATTGTACCTAAAATAAAAATAAAATTATTATTAGGAAAATTTTAAAGTTGAAATTAAATGACATGAAGTGATTTTCTACTAAGATATTCTTAAGATAAATTAAAAGTTCTGGTTCTGAATTACATTTTCATATATATTATATTTTTGTAACATCAATATTCATTAAAATCATGATGTTTAAATTTGGATGTCTATAAAAAGTCTAATAAAAACTTTTCGTTATGATCTCTATGAATATTGATGTTACAAAAATATAATACATATTGTTACCTCTGATTTTATCTATATTTTATTAATTATTTATATATTTTATTATTATATATTCTATTATGTATTTATTATTTTACTATTATTTATTATTTATCTATTTCTTATTATTATAGTATTGCAGTAGATCAATTTAATAGTCTATAGTACAAATTAGATATTATTACTTAAATTAGTAAATTCCTAAATTCTTGTTAATCTATAATACTAGAATACAAATTAGAGTACAAGCCAGAGTACGAGTAATATCTTAGTAAAAGTATAAGTTAAATTAATAGTTAAGATATTAGCTAGGATATTAACATAAATACTAGTGAAGTTTATAGTCAGATTATAAGTTAACTTAGTAGTTAAACCTATAATATATATAGAGGCTGAGAATTCTCTCAACTTAGTCTTCAGTTTATCCTAGTTCTCCAAGTTTTAGTTAGTTTTCAGTTAGGATTTATTAAGTAATAAAGTTAATATTATAAAATCCTTTGAGTTTCTTGTTTATTGTATTTTTTTTAATTGATAAACTGTTTGTTCCTATTAACAAGTTTTCATACCACTGTTAATAGTTAATATGCCTCTTTCATAATTGATTATATATAATTCCTTCTATATATAAACTCTTATATCGTGATTCTTTTATTTTGAGATTAATATTCTTATAGTTTTATTTAATTTTATTTGTTAGTTTTAGTTATTTTATCCTGTTATCTTTGTAAATTTGTAGAAGATTTACATGGATAACAATTTGATAGTAACTGTAAAATATAAAAATTTCTTTTTATTCTAATTAAGAAATATTTTATTAGTATTTTAGTTATTGGTTTTGAATTCCTTTTAAAATAGTATTTAGATTTTTGAAATAGTTTATTAATTTTATATGAATAGTATTACACAATTAAATAATTTAGTTATCAAATTTTCCCTTGAATATAATAACAGAATAAAAAAAATAGTTCAATAAGCTAGTAGTAAGTACCTATATACTTTTAATCCCCAACAACTTGAAGAATAAAATAAATTAAAGTTCAACTTCATCGTCTTTTTAATATTAGAGATATTTGCATAATAATTTTAAAATAAATTCCTGAATTAAATTAGTTTTTAGTAGTAGATTTCTCTTTTTTCTTTTATATTTATGAAAGTAAAAGTAAAAAATATTTGTATAAAAAAAACAATTGAACTTAAAAATAAAGCAATAAAGAAAATTGTTGACCGAGAATTAGAAAAATAAGAAAAAGATCCTAACTACGAAATTACCTATACCCTTAAAGATTTAAACTGTGTAAAAGACCATTTGGTTCAAATTAAACATTACATGTAGATCTGAGATAATATCTTAATAGATAATAGTTGAAACTTCTTTAATATTCCAAAAAAAAGTAAAAAGAGATTGGAGAGACTCTTCCCATCAATCACTTGTATCAAATATTTCTACAGTAGAAAAATATAATTTTTTACTGTAGTTATATATAAAACTTAGTTATTTTTCTATTTTTTATTTGTATGGATAAGAAAAAACATAAATACAATACCATAAGTGTTTCTGGTCAATAGGATGATAACAATAATCAAGAAAATAAGGAAAATATGAATTTTATTTCTATGGCTAGTAACATATAAAATGAAAATAATACAACTATGAATATAGAAGAAGAAACAAAGATACCTTAGATACCAATGCACGCAAGTAAAAAAGAGCTGTTAGAGAGTCATTTGAAGAAGAAACAGAAATAAATATTAATAATGTTATTAAACTATGGTTAAGTATTTCATTTGTAGCAGAACCAAAATATAAAGAAATTTCAGATGGTGAAGAGGATAATGATTTATATATTGAGAAAGAATTTGAAACAGTAAAAAGTAAAAAAAATAAAAATAAAAGAGTTAAAAAGTATTTGTAGAGAAATCTAAAAATATTTCTTTTAAAATCTAACATAAAGAAACTGGTATAAAATTTCTTAAAGTTTCTGTTGAAGTGAAAAAATTAAGGAAAAATCACCTTTTGTAAAAATTCTCATGGTTAAGAATCTTTTTTTTTAAAAATCAAATTGAAGTGATTTTTGAAAAAATTGAAACAACCAATAAAATTAAAAATATAGTAATATATCTTTTAAATGAAGAAGAAGTACAAAAAGTAAAAAAAGTAAATCTAGGAAATACTGAAAATCACATTTATATGCAAAATGTAATGAAACAGTTACCTAATAAATATAATAAATTACACAAATAAAAAATTTGAGATATTCTTCTATATGTAAAGAGAAATGATTTAATGTTACATCTTAATCATTTTGAAAAAGTAAAACAATTATATTTAATAACAAAAAACATGTGACAATTAGGTCACATGAAATTTGAAAATATGGAAGTTGCAGAAAAATTATGAGAAAACTTAAACTAGACCCCAGGGTTTAGGTCATTTATTCTAAACCCCCGGGGTTTAGGTCATTTTGTCTAGACCCTTTCTTAATTTATAAATATCAAAGTTAAATTTTAGTTGTATAACCCATCAAATAAATAATCTTTGTTTATTTTGTTATTATTATTATTTTTATTATTTTCATTTTGAATATTTTCTTT